GGTGGACGGAGTCCACTCCTTCTGCCTCCTTCCAGGTTCAAGTACGTCCTCGTCAACATGTCCACAGGCTTGGTCCAGGACCAGACCCTGTGGTCGGACCCCATCAGCACCAAACAGCGTGAGTGGCGGGGTGCGGGCGGAGGGGCCCCGGAGGGAACGCCCTTGGGAGCGCAGCTCCCGGCCATCTCCCTGCCTGTGTCCCCCAGGGTGTCTCCTGGCCTGCAGGGGCGCCCTGGAGGCAGCACCTCCGCCCGGTGACTCCTAGTCTGGGGCTCCCGCAGCCCCTCACGAGTCTTCACCATAGGCCCCCGGTCATGCACCCGATTCCGCTGAGCCTCAGGGTGCCAGCGTGACCCCGAGTGTGCCGAGAGCTTCCTGGCCCCACAGTGACCTCATGGGCCCGCATGTCCAAGTGTCGCCCGGTCCGGGGTGGGCCCCGCCCACCTTGCTCCCCCACCCCGGGCCGGGAGGGAGGCCGGGGCGCCCCAGCAGCGTGGGAGCCACAGGACCTGTCTGCACTGAGGGGGGAGGGGCGCCTGGCTCCGCACCCCAGGGGGTCAGTGAGCCCGGGGGCCCCAAAAGTAGAGTGGGGGAGCGGGTCCTTGGGCGGCCCCCTTCCCCGGGCTCCCGGACGCCTGCCTGGCTGGCCGGCTCCCTGGCGGCGGGTGTCTGGAGTGACCGCCTGCCCCCAGCCGCCCCGAGCTCCGCCATCGACACGTGGCCCGGCCGGCGCAGCGGCGGCATGATCGTGGTCACGGCCATCCTGGGCTCCCTGCCCTTCCTCCTGCTCCTGGCCTTTGCCGGCGCCGTCGCCTCCAGCCTGGTGTGAGTCTCCTGGCCCCGCTGGGCCGCGGGCGCTCGCCTTCCCTGGTGGCCTCTGAGCCGGGGAGGGCCCAGCAGGCCAGGGCGGGACTGAGGCCTGGGGAGAGGAGCGGATGCCCCAGGTCAGGCCCTGCTGGGGTGCTCAGCGCAGCCCTGCCTCAGCGCTGGCATCTGGAGGGGGAAGGGCCCTCTCCCACCGCCCCAGGGGCCAGTGTTGGCTTCTGCTCTCACTGCCCGCGCCCCTCACCCTGACTACGACGGGGAAGTGGAGTCGGGTCCGGGAGAGCCTGGCCTGGGGCCCTGGCCCCTGACTCGGCAGAGCTCTGCCGTGCCCGTGGCTGGTCCGGTCTCCTGGGGGGTCCTGAGAGGAGGGGCTCTCCAGGGGCCCGACTCGTGGGCAGCAGCCCTCAAGACCTGGAGGCTGAGCCCCGGCCCTGGACCCCAGAAGAGGCCGGCAGGCCGTCGGGAGCATCAGGGCGGGCTTCCTGGAGGAAGAACCAGCAAGAGCACAGGGGTCCGTCCCAGGCGAGGTGGGAGTGGAGAGAGAAGGGGGCTTTGAGGACCCGGTGGGGGGAGCCGAGAGGAGCTTCCTGGGGCAGGTCCCGTGCAGATCGGTCAGGCAGGAGGGACAGGGCGATGGAGGGGCAGTGACCGTGGAACCGGCCTCTGGCGGCGCTCTAAGAAAACAAACACGGGATGAGATCAGAAGAGCTTGCTGGTGGGTCCGGTCAGACCTGTGGGGAGCTGGCGCCCTCCCGGCAGGCGCACCCTGCTCTGGCCCCACAGGGGCCCCCTTATCTGATTTTAGTCTGGGTCCTGCTTCCTCCTCGGGCCGCCCAGCGGCTTCCCTCTGCCCCAGACTCTCCCCAGCCCTCTGGCCAGATGCCCGGGATGCCTTTCCTGCCCACCTTCCCAGCTCAGGGGCTACCTGCCCTCGCCCAGGAAGGGCTGCCCGCCCAGTCCTTCCTGCCGCCCCCCCCGCCCCCCCTGCTGTCTCCCAGGACGTGCGTCGCTCTGCAGACCGGACCACAGCCGGCAAGCCCAGCCCACAGCCACATAAATGACTCACGTAGTGTCCAGCGGCCACCGCCGGCCAGCAGAGGGCTTTGTGCCCGCGCCTCACGGCTCTCGTCACCCCCTCCAGGGGCACGGGCGATGCCGGCGGGGAGACCACGCACGACTCCCAGATGGTGCAGGAGGCCGGGCCCAGGCCCCTGGGGGCCCCGGAGCTGTCGCTGCCGCCTGCACACCGGGGGCCGGCACTGGACCGGGCAGGGGCGCAAGCCGGCAAGCTGCAGGCCTGAGCGGGGCACGCGCACCCCGCGCACACGCACACGCACACACGTGCTCACGCAGCACGCAACGCGCCCACAGGCCGGCCCAGCTGCAGAAGCCGTAATAAAGTCCTGCCTGGATTTGTGCACCGCTCGGATTTTCACAGTAACAGCAGGGCGGGCTGGGGGCCCACGCCGTGTTGGGGCCGGGGGCGGGGTGCCTCTCCGGCCTCAGCTGCCAGCGGGGCTCACGCAGAGGCTGTGTCAGGGCCCCACGCTCCGGTCCCTGCGGGGCTGCGGTGGGCGGGCAGGGGACGGCTGCGGTATACAAGGGCGCCAGGCCCTCCCCGCCCTCGGCGGGGGCCCCGGCGGCAGCACCCGCTGCTGGTGGCACAGGGAGGTGCACAGCTGGGGCTCTGGGGACCCGGCTCCCCTCGGGGCCCCGGGTGCTGACACCGGCCGGCAGTCACGCCCGGGCGTCAGGGTGCTGGAGTGATGGGACGGGAGGGGCAGGGGGAGCGGGCTGGGTGTGCCGGGATGCCGCTCCTCGTCCCTGCAGCTGGCACTTCTGGGGGCAAGGCTTCCCGTCCTCAGCCTTGCCGAGGGCCTGTCGGCCGCGCCCTCGTGTGGCGCCCTGACTCTCCTTCCTGCGTTAGCTCCGGGTCAGCGTGGATGCCGCCGCTCAAGGGCGCGGTGGCCTCTGCCCGTCCCCACAGCCATGTGCCCGACACCCCAAGGGAAGCCCTGTACCTCTAAGCAGTTGCCCCTGCGCCCTGCCCCCGCAGCCCGACACCCACAACCTGCCTCTGTCGCTGGGGACGCCCCGTGCCGGCCCCTCCGTTCCCACGTGTCCGCAGGCGTCCGCTTCCGCGGCCGCCCTCCGCGGGGTCTCGTGGCTACGGGGTGTGTAGGGTTACCCAGCTGTCCCCAGCCTCCGCCTGCCCCTTTCGCGCCCCACGTCCCCCCGCCCCAGTGCAGCGAGCAGGCCCCGGGCTTGTTCTGCGGGCCTGGGCCCTCCACCTGGCGGAAAGGCAGGACCTGCAGGGCCCCGGCCCCGGCCGGCTGCAGCTGGCGCCGGGCGGCTCCTGCCAGCCTCTCTCCTTTTCAAGTTTTACTCTTTGCCCTACTTGACCCAGGGCACTGAGCACTGGAAGGAGCTGAGCACACCCCGGCCTGGGAGCGCCCCACCCGCCCCCTTAGAGCAGCCCAGCCGGGCCTGCGGCTCTGCTGTCCCAGCCGGCAGCCAGCCCGTGCCAGACAGGCGCCTTCTAGTACAATGCCCACCCCTGCACTGAGGTTTGGAGACAGGGTGCAGCCCGGGCCACCCTCTGGCTTCCAGTCAGCTTTCAGCCCGAGTCTGTCTCCACTCACCCTCTGGCTGTGGCTCTCCACCTGCGAACCTGGACACAAGCCATGCAACTTCTGTCGTCAGACACGGTCCGGATGGAGGGGAAATGCTCTGAAAAACCAGGATTTCCACGCCAGCTCATGTCATGAGCCCCCTTTTCTGTATAATCATCAAAATAGTCCAAGAAACCATGAGTTTTCTACTGGAGTGCCTCAGCCTCATACGGTGCTGCCTGGCTCAGGCGAGCAAGTGCCTCCCCAGGATGGAAAGCCCTCTTGAAATAAAGAATATTACAACTGACTGATTAATAAAAACAATTATAACAAAGTTAATATTGTAAGACAAGGCAGTACTAGGACAATCAGAATTCTTTTCCTGCCCCCACAGAACCCAAATCTCGGCTCTCTACTATCTCGGCTCTCCGCTATCTCGCTCAAGCCTTCTATTCAGTTTCTAAGAGCTACTTAAACTTTCCATTGTCAGTCTTCAAATCAGGAACCTCATCTAAGTCCTTTATTCAGCTTTAAGGAACTTTACTGTTTCTCTTTGTGAGTGATTACCAGGATAATCACTCCACCCTCACTCTGGCCTTACTTTATCCTTCTTCACATCCCCACCCAGCCTCCACCCTGGTCCTCGACTTTACCTCTAAGATGTCTTAATGAGAATGAAGGTCATAGAGTAGCATTTAAGGGACTTTATTTTAGCCAATCGTCACTGTGATAAATATAATAATGTTCGCTTTACATTTTATGAACTTATGTACCCATCTTAATTTTGGTTTTAAGAATCATGTTAGCTGAAGGTCAATACGACCCAAACTGCTCTCAGAAAAAAGGATGATTGTGACCTCAGCCCGTTTCATATGCTGATTGCTCGCTGGAAGTGTATAAAGTGAACTGCGGCTGTCCGGAGCAGGACACTTGCAGCCAACTCCATTCCCGCGTTTCCTCGCGCCC